TTTCACATTCTCTTACTACGCTTGTTTTGCTGCAATACCCAGCCCTGTAATGGTGATGCCCAGCCACTAAAAGTAAGCGTATGCGCTAAAAAGCAGCAGGCGTGATTGTGCCCAGCAGCTCTTTAGCTCTTTCCTGTGCAAACCTCGGAGGTAAAGCACGATCCCCTTCTAAAGCTGAATCTTACCTGAGAGCAGGGAATATTCTCTTAAGCAGTATGAGCTTTGTATTTCAGAGATAAAGGCAAACGAGACACCTTATTTGCAGTTTCTGAGGAGGGTTTACTTGTCTCTCCTAATTAGGGGCCCCTCTTTCACCAGGAAGGGCAGTCAAAGTGGTGGCGGTTGGAAAACCATTGTGGGAAGTCAGTATTTCCCAACAGCCACAGGATGGCATCATCTCTTCATGCTAGTGCAGGAGAAACTTCCCCGTATCCAGCTGGCCTCTGTGGAAAGACCTTTTTGGGATTAACCGGAGTCTGTGCTACAGCTTTAGAAGCTGGGACCACTCAGATAATGCGGTTGGTTTGCCTTCAGGAACTGGCTGTTCTGGTTTCAAGGCTCAGGCTGGTTGGGGTACTCCCATAAAAATTTCACATTCTCTTACTACGCTTGTTTTGCTGCAATACCCAGCCCTGTAATGGTGATGGTGTAGGGCCAAACAGATTCTTGAAATCTCTGCCTTGCCCTGAGATCACTTAAATTTTATAGGCAGTGAGGTTTGCAACATGCCCAGGGGCAGAATTTGAATCCCAGAAGGATCCTCTCTCCCTTGGCATCACTGTGTTGATGGGGACTGTCCCGTTGCTGGGCCCCAGGAGCCAGGACCTATCTGTTGTGACACATCTGGGGTGCAGCATGGCCAGTGCTGCTGTGGGGGACCCCAGCGAAATGCCGCTGCAGGGGGAGAGGTGGTGGATTCTTCATCCACCTCCCCACTGTCCCAGCACTTACGCAGGAGGAGGAGGGAGAGGAGAAGGCATGCCTCTTCCCAAAGATATTGCACTTTCAATGGTGTAATTTGGAGAGAAGGCGGGAGAGTCTTACTGCACTGGGCACTTGCTTGGAAAGCAGCAATGTTACTTCTGGTCGCTGTTCTAGGCTTTGTTGGCTGAATAAATAGCGGAAAATAGTCAATGAAGATCCCATTCTCCCCTCCTAGTGGGGTTTCAGGGGCCTGCAGGGGCAATTTTTGCATCCCCTCAATCCCTGGACTGCTCCAGGATGTTCAACTTGACCTCAACCCCTGCCTGCTTCTAACCTAAGACCCAGGAACCTCCCTTTCCCTCTGCAGCCCACGCTACCCAAGAATGCCTGGCCCTGAATACAGTGTGCAGGGCCGCCACCTGGAGAGAATCAAGGTGTGCACTGCTCATTCCTTCCCCCCAAAAGTGTGTCTGCCATTTCTAGCCACTCGTTGCTGCAGTCCTGCGTGCCTCTTGCCACCAGTCCCCTCCAGGGCCTCAGCTGTGTGGGCACAGTGCAGCTTGGTGCATGGTCCAGGTGAGAGGCAAATTTATTTTTGTCCTCATGGAGGGAAAGCTCCGTGGTGCACAATTTGGAAAGGTTCTGCCCAGCAGAGGTGTGTGCCTGGTCCTATGACATGCCCAATGCAGATGGCTGCAAGAAGCTGCAGACACCGTGAAATACTTGTCTGATCAAAACCAGCTGAGGTTAACTAGTCCGCACTGCTGACCCTCTGCAAGGAAAAACCCCTCTGCAGCCCACCTCCTGCAGTGCAGAAATGCTGCTTTTCTTCCCACTACTTTTGCCCTTGGAGAGGTGCTTGACTGTGTTCATTAACAAGGTGAGGCCATTAAACTTGATTAAGCTAAGCTGTTTCTTTAAGAAAATGTCTCTCAGCTGCACAGCTGGCTGCAGGCAGAGACTGCACAGCCTCTGCCTGCTGAGCTCTCCCTGTGTCTTATCTAGGGCCAGGACACAGATACAAGAAAGATTTCCCCAGGAAAATAAACACATGACTGAGAGCTAGAGACATAGCATTTGTTTGCAGTTTGAGAGTCATTTATTTTTGTTTTAAAAAAGAAACACTGCGAAAAAATTGTTTTTTTTCCCCTGTTGCATGGACTGTTTAGGAAAATAAAAGGTTGATACTGAAATGCAGTTGTGGGGAGGCAGTGCAGAGGTGTCTGGAGAGTGGGGACCCATGCAGTGGAGTTTCTGTACCATGCATCTCCTGCTGCCTTGTTAGTGTGGGTGCTGCAGGGTTGCTGCTGCCTGGCTGATGGATGACAGGTCCTGGAGCACCTTAGGCTGTTGCTGCTCTTTTGCTTTTGTCTCAAGAAGCAGCTGATTCAGTGGATGGTTTGGCTACAACGGCAGCCCTCGAGCAAGTCAGCCCCCATGCTTTATGGGGTGCAGAGGCTTGGACCATCCACTGGTCAGATGGATCAGGGCAGGGTTGTATCCTGGTTCCTTCCTGCCCAGCCCAGGGGTGGTTTGAATTATGATTTTGGGGAGCTCTTGAAATTCAGACCTGGCTCTGAACTCCCAAAAGCCTGGATCGGAGATGTTGTGTGTGACAAAACACAAACATTTTCTTGACGGCTCTCTGGTTCTTGTAGGAATCGGTTGCCCTCGCCTGAAACGTTACTCACTAATCCTGCCAGAGAAGGACCTTCTTGCAGGGAGCCATGCAAAGCCTGGCAGCTCCACACCAGGTAGGCTGTACTCTGCCAGAGCTGGTTGCCTCTGTGCCCCTGCTTGTTCGGGTAAGCCTCTGGCCTCCCATCGTGTTTCCCTTTGCTCTGATTTTTTTCGATTCCTCCAGGCAGCACCGCCCTTCCTCCGGGGCTGTTGGTGCCTCTAGATTGCAGCAGGAGCACCTGCGCGGGCAGCTCTCCTGCCTGTGGGAGGAGGCTGCTTTGCCCACCTGGTGAGCTTGGAGGCAGGAGGGCTGGGAAAAGTACCTGCATGGGGGAAAGGAGGGAAGGAAGAAGGAATAATACAAGTGCAGTGCTGGTTCTCCAGGGTCCTGGCTGGACTGGGGGTTTGGGACAGAGACCAGAGCTATTCCTGCATGTCTCTCTCTAGGATTAGGTGTGGCAAATCCTAATTTTTTATAGCATTATATGTTGCTTCCTGTTTTGGAGGAGAAGGGAGTAACTTATTTCAATGCTAACAAAGCAAGCTGGAAAATAAGGCACATATGAGGTCAATTTAAAGGGCTGTGTGAGGAGGAGCCTGGCTTCCTGGCTGTTACCAGCACAGCCGTGCACAGCCAAACCCCGTGATGTGATGGTAACATCACCGCCCTGTCCAAGTCAGACAAAACAGGCTGTGCTGGGACTGGGTGGCACAAGCAGCTGCTTCTAACCGGTGGCTTTGCCACCCTGCTGGTGCGTGCCTCAGGAGCTGGGCGAAGGCGGCATCACCCTCGCCCAGGCTGGAAGCGGTCATGTACAGCAGCTCCGTCCAGGCTTGCCCACGTGGGTTTGGCTGCTTGTCCCCCAGATGTCTGGCTGGCAGCTCCGGACTGCTCCAACAGCTTAGGAAGTGGAAGAAAGTGGGAGGAAAACATCCAGTGTACAGACACAGGGCAAAAACCAGATGTGATGGGGCTTCTCATCACGTGTTCATCCCTCGCTGGCAGAACAAGCTGGGGGAGACAGAGCCTGGCGGGGCAGGGGGCAGAGGAGACCCCCAGCTCCTCAGGAGGTAGGCTGGGCATGCAGGCATAGGGGGAGCAGAGGGTCAAAACCAGCGTAGGGGTGAGAGCTGTGTGTGTTCTTGTTAGCTGCTGTCTCCGGCTGAGCCACTGCACTTCCAAGGGAGATGAGGATAGAGAGGGATGCAGGGTCCAGCTGTGTGAGGCATCCCTGAGTAAGGGATGACTGCGGGCATTAACTTTACTCCCCTCTGCTCCTTCAGCACATCCCAAATCCCAGAGCCAGATGGCTTGACAGCCGTAGAGAACCCCTCTGCATGGCATACAGAGCTGCCTGCATGGCATCAGCTGGCAGCACCGTGTGCTCGTGGGTCTGCGTGTGCACAAGGGCTGCAGGGAGAGGGGATGGCCGAGTGTGCCGGGAAAGCGTGTCTGCTGCTTCAATACCGCTTCGGTGTGCCCAGCCCCACGACAGAGGGGCCTTTGGTCCTGCTCTTCTTTAGTAGTCATTCAATAAATAACTCTAATGCCCGTAGCTAAGCCTTTACACAGCCTCAGCTTGCGTTTCTGCTCTTGCAGTAGTGTGGTGGGCTCTCTAAAGGCAAGTCTGTATAAAACAGTCTTTCAAGGAAGATTTTTTTGTAAGTGCTGGTGCAAAAGGGCCAGTCTTGCAGCCTCCTCTCTCCTCCCTGCCTCTAGCCTGGGTGGCAACGCGTCCTTCTGCTTTGCTGCCTTAAGATGGTGTCTTGAGGTCTCTAAGGTTGGGCTGAGGGCACCTGTCTTCAGATGCTCTCTGTTGCCTTTGGTTTGGTGACTGGGAAGATGGCACATCTTTGAACTGTGGGGTAACTCTGCACTTGGCTTCTTTGCAGCTCCAACACGAGCTGGGTTTGGACGGAGCCTGTCATCAAGTTGTGCCATCTCCACAGCAGGACAAGCAAACGAGGTGTGCCCGTGCTTGCTTTGCATGCAGCCGTCTATGTTTGTGCAGGGGGAGCATGCAGGCAGCTCAGTCTTCGAGTGCATGTGGTCCTGTGCACCCTTGTCCGTGAGACGTTGCGTGCGCTTGCACACGAGTGCAGAGGGAAAGCCTCACACCCGGTCGCTGTGTGCCAGCCCGGTGCGTGTGCATTGTGCTCGTGGTGGGAGGTATGTACGGCCCAGTGGCACGTCACGCTCGCGTGCTCAGCAGGGCACGTGTCCACGTGCACGCCTGTCCTTTGCAGGGGTTTCTGCCCTTGGGCACACTGTCATGGTGGGGGAGAAGGGTCTTGCATAAACCTGTGCCCAACTGCCTTGCTCTCTACTGGCCCTTCAATATGCTGGTTAGCTGCTGGGCTCAGCCTCTTTTGAAAGTCACCAGAAAGTGGCAGCAGCTTTGGCATCTCCTTGCCTCCCATTGTGCACAGCTGAAAGGACTGGTGGCATGTCAGAGGGGAGGGCCTGAACACCCTCCTGTTCGCTAGATGGGCAAGGAGGGTCTCTTGTCCAGCAAGAGCAGCTTGGGCTGAGCAGAGATCCACAGGTCCTCTTCACCCTTCTTCTTCTTTTTTTTCTTCTTGTTCCTCTCGGTGTGCAGCTGCCCGTTGCTGCTGGGGCCACCTTTTTTCCTGCTTTCTCCCCTCCGGCTACAGAAGCAGCAGTGGCAGCAGATGAAAATGAACGCAATGAGGACGACGAAGGGCAGACCCATCAGCACAGCCAGGCAGACAGTGTTGAAGACACCTTCCTCATGCTTGGTACGGATGAGCTCCAAGATGGAATTAAAGAAAGAGCTGATCTTCTGCTCCATGTCGGCTCCTGGGCAGGCTGCCTGTGCTGCTCCCTCTGCTTGAAGGCCCCTTGGGATACGTTCAGCTCCTGTAAGCAGCTAGTGGGCTCCACAAGCGTCCTTGGTTGGTGCCTGCAGAGACCGGAAAACACATGGATCAGGTGCCTACTCCCTCAGCAATTTTCTCCATGGAGCTGCCAGCACAGCCAAAGCCTCAGCAGGGTGAGAGGTCTGCTGCCTTGGAGGGATCTGGGGTCACAAGGGCTGGGCCATGCTGCTGGCCACATCCCTTTGGGTGTCCCCATCCAAGAAACACAGCCTCCCAACCTCTCCTGGGGTTCATTCTCTGCAGTGGGGATGGGCGAGGAGGGCTTTGGGCATCCCTACTTGCCTTGGCATCTGGCCAAGCACAAATCCTGCCCCCCTGGACATACATCTCAACCCTTGCTTGGCAGCCACAGCATGGAGCTCTTATTAGCCCTTTGTAGGGCTTATTTCTCAGCAGAGGAAATATTGTCTGCAAGAGCTTTCCTGTCTAGGAAGGGACTTGCCTGATCCAGGCAAGGGACCACTGCAAAGAGCAGTACCGCTGCCATCGGGGCCAGGAGTCAACATGTCACAGGTCTCTCCTTACCCTCGATCCACCCTGGGACAGGGTGTCTGGTTTAGACAGACTGTTTGTAATGGTCCGTGGTCTGGGATGGGCAGCCGAGCTGCTGCAGGCAGGGCACTACCCTGCATCTGGGCAGCGCAGAGGCAAGGTATGCCTGTCCTGGGCACCGCACTGGGGTCTGGTCCTGCTGCTGTGGCACCCAAGGCACAGCTGGGAGGTTTGGGGTGAGGGCTGTGGTTAAACCACCTGGATTTTTGATGGGGACTATGGTCAGTGGGACTCGCAGGTGGTGGTCAGGCACCCATGGCTACCTCCGTGCACCCAGGGCTGGCTGCAAAGGCAGTGGTGGGGGAGGACGAGGGTTGGCTGGGGACGGAGGAGTCTCCGCTGTGCCTCACCTGGGAATTGCTCCAAGGGTTGGGTAGGGCTGAGGAGCATTTCTGCAGCCTGACGTAAGGTTTTCCTCTCCCTTGGGGAGGGAGAGGTGCTGCTGAGTGGTAGGGCTCCCGGGGAAGCCCTTCTGCAGGGGCAGGGAGCTGCTGCCTCTGCTCACGGTTTTCCTCTTCTCCTGGGGCCAGGCAAAGCTCCTGGGGTTTTGAGTAGGGCAGGGGACTTTGTGCCGTGAGTTTGCAGTTTTGGTTCAACACTGGGGTCACCAAATCACGGGTTGTGCAGATGAAGAGCTGGCAGGAGCAATATCAGGCTCTAATACCATGTTTCACCCTCGCTCGGCATTTTACATCAGTGTCTTTGCCAGCCTTTGGGATTCAAGCCCCACAGCCTCTTGAGGGAATGCAGAAATCCCCATGTGCACAGGAGAGGAAACTAAGGTGCAGTAAAAGGAAAGCCAGCACTTCCATGTAACAGAAACTTAAGGGGTACAGCTTGAACTCCAAAGGTGTCCCGGAGGGGTTGCTCCACTTGTCCCCTTTGACCACCAACCCCTTGCCTCTCCCTCTGGCAGCTCTCACAGTGCCCAGGCACCTCTAGAGGGGAACAGGAAGGGGACCCAGGCTGGTTTCAGTTAAAGCCGGCTTGTCTATAGCAATACCATTCTTTGCTTCGAATTGCATTTATTGCTGTTGCGGCATCTGCTAAGGGATGCTCCCTTGTACCGAGCGTTTTGGGAACTGGGCCCATCCCGAGCAAAAAGATGCTCCCTGCCGAGGCGGGAGCCGGCGGGCAGCCCCCGAAAAGGTGGCTCCCAAGGGAAAACCTGCCTTCAGAAACACTGTCCTGGGACCTACAAAGATGTACAGGGTCTTGTTTTACCAGCTGCCCCCGGCTGCTGGCTTTCGTACCCAATTGCCAGGACCCCAAGCGCCAAATCCTTCAGTGTAGATGCTCAGGTCTCAATCTGGGACTTCACGAGTGCTCTGATCCTATGTAAAGAGAAGGGTTTATCATCCCTGCCACCTGCAGAAACAGACTGACCGCTGTGTATTTATTGTTTCGATCTGCACGAGAGCGTAGCTGAGCTGGCTGCAATTAGCTGGTGGTTTCTCTTCTGGACATATGCATGGGAAATGTGATGAAAATGGACGTACAAATTTCTGTGGGTGCCTTTCTGAAAAACTCCCATTTGAGATTTACCAAATGAAACACACTGCTGTGGGAGGTGGTATGGGCTTTGGCTAAACAAAGACATTTGTAGCTAATGTTTTATTGCTGGATTTTTGTCCAGTTTGCTGCATCTTCCAGTTTCTGCTTGCTATAAGGGGAATTAAAATAAATGTGTGTGTATATATGTATATATGGTGGGGTTTTTTTGGAGGTAGACAAGCAGAATGGTGGGGATGCCAGGCATGGACCCAGGAGGGAGGAATGGTGCTGCAAGAGGCAGAAGAGCCTTTTCCACCCCACCTCTGCTGCCAAGCAGCTTCCCGGCCTTGGGAAACCGGCTGCTCCCTGCATTGCCTCATTCCCCTACCTGGCAGAGGACGGTGATATCACTGCCATCCCCACATGAGAAATCAAGGGCTATCAAGGAGGGCTCAGGGACTGAAATCCCATCCATCCCCTTCCTACCCCCTGCCTGGAGCCAGCGGTGAGCGTTACAGATCTGCTTTTGCCCACAGGGGAGATAAGCAAGGGCTCTCTGGGTGCCGGTCTCTGCTATCTGCTGCCCGCAGGCATTACAAGCAAAGGGCAAGGGGGCAAGCGGTGAGAACCACTTCTTAAAACTGCTCCCTGTCCCAGCCTTCATCCTTGCCGAGGCCTTTTTTTAGAACAGCTGTAGTAAAGGTTAAACTGCAACAGAAATAAACAGAGTGGCTTTTCCTCGGCCTGAATCATCTGTGTGAAGCAGGTTTGCCATTTATCCATAAATATCCTGACAGCTCATTATCCAGGCAGGAACATTGGACGCCTGTGATACACTTCACTCCAAAAAAGAAGTAAAAAAGCCAACCCCAAAACAACTACCTTAATTTCAGACAAAACAGGATGTACAATTTTATTCCTGCGCTGAGCTGCTTCATATTTATTGCCTCTAAACTTCTGGGGAGGGAAGGAGGGCTGGAACTTCCTCTTAAACTTGTAATTAATTGTTTGCAGAGAAAAAAAAAAAAACAGAGCCCTTTGAAATGTTTCCACTTTAAACCGGAGCTGAATGCGCTGCAGAGGCCCTCGCTGCTTGGTCCTGGGAAGTTCCCAGCCGGGGACATGCGGCAGTGCTGGGCAAGCCCGGAGCCACAGGGATGCGGCCAAGCATCTCCTGCAAGGGGAAGGCAGAGGTACCTGCCACTGCCCTGAGCAAGCAGCGCAGAAAGCCTGGGACCACCTTTCAGCACAGCTATGCAGCTGGTTTTCAAATGCCTTTTCTTTTTGGTGCGTGCATTGCCTTTTGTATGGTAGATGAAGGGATGTCTGTGCGCTAAATAAAGGAGTTCTTCAGTTTAATATTAAAAAAAGGGGGGGGGAGGGGAAAGTAGAAAAACTGGTGCCTTTTGAGCCACAACTCCAAGGGCTGAGGGGTTATCCAAGGCCACCCATCGCCAGCTGAAAGCCTGTGTGCGCAGCGAGGAGCTGCATTTAGGAAAAATCCGTGCTGCTGCTCAATTTGGTGCGACAGCAACATCTCCCCTTAGAGAGGGGATGAACCGGGAGAGCTGCGCCGGGGCCCACCATGGGTGTGAACTGGGTGCTCAATGCACGTGGAGCTGCAGCTGGGAGGTTGGCTATTTTTTTGGCACAAGATACGGGACCAAAAAACGGGGCCAGGGAGGCACTGGGAGACAGGGCAACATCTCGGGGAGGGCTGCTAAACGCCCTGTTAAATGAGCTCTTTGTTTTTGGGTGGCCAGTGCTGGCAGTGAGTCAGGGGAAAGCTGACATAGTAACTCGCTCGGGAAATCCTGCTGCCAGGGATGGACGGCTACATCTGATGGCAGCTCTGCATGGCTGGGGTTTGTGCAGCTTGTATAAGTTTTAATCGAAGTTGGGCGTCCAACATCAGGTTCTTTAATCCACGTTGGCTCCGAAGGAGACGGTTTTCAAGGGTGGGGAGCATCTGCCACTCCTCCAGAGTTACGGGCAGCCGTGGGTGGAAAACAAGCTCCTTTTGAGGGCCAGCTTGGGATGGCACCACAAACCATTGGCGTGCACGGCTTGCCTGGCTGAGCTGGGGGGGTAAAGGCTGCCAGCCTGAGCATGGGGAAATCAAAACAGAGGGGTTGCCTTAGCAATGCTGGCTTGCCCACATCCTGCGCGCTGCAGAGCAACCGCAGCGGCTGGGGATGGAGGTAGAGTTTGCAGAGAAGTTGCAGTTCACTGGAAACAGGGGGCAAAGGGCTGGAAACCGCTATGCAGGGTCACCATGGCAGAGGGGAGAAAGCTGGAGGCGTTTTAGGATCTGATTTTGCAAGTTAAGTCCTTTAGGCTCAACTCTCAACAGGCTCTTATGTCCATGTGAAGTCCTCTCTAGCCTAACAAAGCCTAACCGGCTCCTCTCGGTTGACATACAGCCCGGTTCAGGTGGGAGTGGAGCCGCTCTAAGGTGCTTCTCCCTACATCCATGTTGAGAGCAGGGGCAGCTCTGGAGGACAACCGACATACAGCCCATGACCTATGGGGTTTGGCCCCGACTACTAGGTTATTTGAACTCCTCTGCGCCTGGTGTCCAGCTGCAACTCAGGACTTGCAGAGGTGACACGAAAGCGTCTGACCTGCAGCCACCCCCATTTCCTTAATGCAGATGAGAACTTGCTTCTGGTGAGACCTCACTTCATGCAACTGATGCTAAGTGGTGCAAAGCAGGAATCACAGTATTAAACTTGACCATTTCCTTCTGTTACTGGCTTTGTATCAGCTTTATACCCACTTTCCACTGGCAGTGATAGCTATGGGTCAGGCTAGGAGAGGCTAACTTCTCTCTCACAGCTCTGATACAACGAGCACAGACACAGCTATGCACGCACACACGAGTGACATCTATTTTCCCATTTGCACCTGCAGACTTAAAGAAAAACTGGATGAAACCTGACACTGAGGGTGAGCAGTTTCCTTAGCTGGGATTGCACGTTACTCTTTTGGAAATGGTGAATAATAAGAACTCACAGCAGGCTCCAGAGACCTTCCTCAAATGTTAAAAAACAAACACCAAAAGCCACCACCTAGCAAACAAAACCAACTAAAGCTTCATCTTATTTCCACTGCTGTCAAACCTTCCAGCCAGAAGCTGCGCGTAGAGGCTTTCATCCCCTAAAGGGAGCGATCTGGAAAACTACTGATACGAATGTAGGATAACAGGGTTAAAGTGAAACTATTTTGCAAGCTGCTGCCTGGAGCCCGCTCCGCGATTGCCATCTGCACACGCGCGCTGCCATTGGCCCGGATCGGTGCAACTCCTGGCCAAAAGACCAGTTTTGCTTTTAGAAAAGCACCGCTGTCATCCCTGACAGCACCAGGAGCTCCTCTGAGCCATCTCGGTCTCCTCTAAACTGTGGTACAGGCAGCGCTGCCTCCCCGGGCTGGCAGGCAGCCCCCACCCAGCCCACCC